TTTTGACTTCTGTAGTTTCACAGTGTGTCTTGGAGTCAGGTATTGTAACACCTCCAGCTTTTTCCTTTCCTCCAGGGCCACTCTGCTCAGGCTCCACTGTGGCTCATCCAAGTTTCGGGAGCACCTTTCATGTGTCTGTGCGGAATGGCCCTGGTGTCCTGATAGAACTTGATGGATTTTTTTCTTAATACTAATTGTTTTTCTGGATGTACACCTCTCAGTGGTGAGATCCTGAGGGTAACTGAACAGTGAGATCCAAAGGGGGCAGCACCTCTTTCTTATTCTGGTGTCACCCCCCCCCACAATGGCAGAGGCTTATGCAGAAATTAGAGACTGCTTCTCCCTGGCCTGGCACAGTGGCTCTTACCCACAAAAGACCCATGCTCGGGCTTCTAGTAGTTTACCTCCCTGCCAAGCTATGGGCATGACGTCCATGTTCTCCTTCAGCTGCAGCAGAAGGGATGGAGGACGAGGCAGCGGTGAGCTGCTCACTGCAGTTGGCGACTGACACACCCACCAGAACAGACCAGAACACAGGCATGTGACCACAGCAGGAAGGGTTTAAAACACGGTTGTGGAGCATGAACAGTCGTTCGCTGTTTATTGGAAAATTAAATTGTTTGTTTAAAGAGTTGGGCTTTCTTCTAGAAGTTCCTGTAACCTAGTTACGTGCAACTTTTCTCTTTCCGGGCCTGCTTGTGTTTCCTGGAACAGTAAAGTCGCGTTAACAGAGAGTGAAAAAGTCAGGTTAATGTGCACAGTAAATGGTGGGGGTGGACGGAGTTGGGATTTGAATGTCCCTGTCCTGAGAGTCACAGTCTCTGGAATGGTACCTACATTGTTCACCCACAGAAGTGCCATCTCCACTAGGCGGTATCTACATGCCCAGCTGGGTATGGGGCCTGCAGGGAAGCGTGTGCATCTTAACAAGCACTTCACAAGACGGTTGTAAAACCGCTGAACTGCATGCATGTCACGGTCCATGAGTTGATTGCCAAGTACTTTAGCCATGGCCCACAGGAGCCTGGGAGGTCCATTCAGGTAAACTCTGACTTTGTGTGTCTGTCCCTGTGGTTGGGTGGATGGAGAGCAGGGGAATCTCCCAGCAAGGTAGGACGTCACGACTGGAGATGGTTCCGGAGTGTGAGCAGTTGAGCGAGCTGCGCTGGCCACACCCTTCCACTCCCCTGCCCTCCCAAGAGATTTATTTGGGGGCATCTTGGCAGACCCAGGGGCCAGCCCACAGGAGCACTGAGCGACTGGCAAACTGCTTCCTAAGAGCTAAGTCGTTCATGGGCAGGTCCTCGGAAGGTATCACTTTCACTCTGAGTTCCCATTCAGGTGGATTTGGGGTTTTGTTCTGCCCCTCCGACCAGCTCTCCTTTTTCTCCTGAGTATTTGAAGACCAGCAGGAAAAGTACTAATACTGTTTGCCCTCCACCCCCGCCCATTTCACTGTGTAAAAATAGAAGGATTGGCTTTCTTCAGGCCTGGCTTTGATCTCCCATCTTTGTCAAGACCTTTTTCGAAGGTTCTCCGAGGTACGACATTCTGGGCTCCGTGCTGGAGCCGGGAAGAGAGTGAGTGGGCAGGGGGAATGGTGTTGTATTTACAAGTATGGGGTGAGAGGAGGGTCTGCAAGGTGTAAGCGTCTGGTAAGGAAAGGGGGCATATGTATAATGGGGTCCTTGCAGAGGGGTACAGGCATGCAGAACACAGGAGGCCCCCCATCTTCTCCAGTGACAGATCTGCGGAGCTGAGAAAGGGGCATTCCAGGCAGTGTTCAGGGTCTGATGTCCTGTCCTCCACATGGGCGGGAAGTGCTGCTGGCACTTTGTGTCCTGGCATAGGAGCTGTGCCCTCCCCTGGAGTTTCCCCCGAATGATCACAGCTTCACCAAAGCCACTCTGGGAGGAGGGGGATGAAGACCGGGTTTTGAAAGATCTCGGTACCATGAGTCCTGTGCTAGATATCTGTGTGCCATTCTGTCTTTCCCGAAACTGTGGATCACAGTCGTGTGTGTCCTTTAATGACAGACAGATGGTATGAAAACTGGTAGGTGATTTCCTCCTGACATGTGAGGTGCGAGCATGCACAGCTGTATGGTAGAGGCACTGCCAGTCAGGCTGTGGGACGGTCAGTGCCTGGTAGTCCTCGGCTGCAGCCTGAACATAGGCTGGGACTAGATGTCCGGTGCTGCTGTCCAGGTGCTGACACAGTGACCAAGATCTGTTCACCTCAATGGAGCCAGACACAAAAGATACAGTGTGAGAGCTGGAGATTGGGGTGCCTGTGTGAGGTACTTGGGGTATGAGTGGGTATGAGTGGATGCAGGGTGGGGGACCACTGTCTGCCCTGACTATGCACTGGACACAGGCCAATGTAGATGTAACCAACCGTCTTATTAAATAAGAAACACAGAACCAATGTAAAAGAGAAAGCCAAGAGGTCAGAGCTCAGAGCTAAAACCTTACCCTTCCTCCTGCAGTGCTCCTACCTCCCCAAAAGAGAGCTACTTCCTGTGTGTCTGTCTTTAAATAGTCTTTTTTTTTTTTTTTTTTTTTTTTGGGTTTTTCGAGACAGGGTTTCTCTGTGTAGCTTTGCGCCTTTCCTGGGACTCACTTGGTAGCCCAGGCTGGCCTCGAACTCACAGAGATCCGCCTGGCTCTGCCTCCCGAGTGCTGGGATTAAAGGCGTGCGCCACCACCGCCCGGCCTAAATAGTCTTTTTGTTCTGCCTTCTCATTGGTTGTAAACCCAAACACATGACTGCCTCATCACTGCCTGTAAGTACAGCCCTCCAGGTCTTAAAGGCATATGTCTCCAGTGCTGGCTGTATCCCTGAACACACAGAGATCTACCTAGCTCTTCTACCAAGTGTTGGGATTAAAGGCGTGCACCACCACCACCACCACGCTCTTGCTATGGCTCTAATAGCTCTGACCCCCGGGCAACTTTATTTATTAACATACAATGAAAATCACATTTCAGTACAAATAAAATACCACCATAGGCCGCACTGCTGTTAGATAAAACGTTTCCTCAACACATTCATCTTAGCTCACTGGAGGGGTTACTTTATGCTTTTTTTTTTGTTTGGAGAAAGGGTCTTACTGTGTAGTTCTGTTTGGCCTGGAACATTCTATTAAAGGTATGTGTCTGGCTTAACTTTAAATTCTGTAATTACACTTAAGTTAAAATGCATATTGTACTACTATGCAAAAAGTTCTCCTCATATTCCATATTCTGCAAGCTTTTTCCTATTAGTTTAAAATGTTACCTTTGAAACTTAATAGATTTGTTTTTTTATGTGTATGACTATGCCTGAGTGTATCTGTGTGCAACGCACACACGCAGGAGCCCTTAGGGGTCAGAAGAGGGTGTCAGATCTCCTGGAGTGGGAGTTACAGGTGGTTGTGAGCTGCCATGCAGGTGCTGGGACCCGAACCCTAGCTCTCTGCAAGAGCAGCATTTGCTCTTAACCCATGAACCACCTCTGGCCCTTCCACGCTGTTGCTGCAGTGCAGCGCCAGGCTCGTCAGCGGCACCCTCCACTCTCCATCTTGTCCCAGCGGATATCTTGGTGGGCAGTGACAGGCCTGGGGGTCCTTTTCTGTGATGACAAAGCCTTTTCCTCCCAAGGACCTGTCTGAGTCTGTTCTGCAGTTAACTTTTTCCTCCCTCCCTCCCTCCCTCCCTTCGTCCCTCCCTCCCTCCTCTCCTTCCTTCCCTTTCTTTCTTTTCCCTCTTTCCTTTCTTCTTTCATAAAGAGAGAGAGTTCTCCGTCAAACAGTGACAAGGCATCTAGCACAGTGGTTCTCAACCTATGGGTTGCAACCCCTTTCCCAGGGGTGGCTGAGGACATCGGGAAACACAGATGTTTATATACATTTCATAACAGTAGTGAAATTATAAAGTAGCACAGAAAACAGTTTTATGGTTGGGGGGGTTACAACGTGAGGAACTGTATTAAAGGGTGGCAGCATTAGGAAGGTTGAGAGCCACTGTCCAGGCAGAAGTCTAGAGGAAGCTGACTAGTGTCAGAGGCTGTGGCCGTCTTAGGACTGTTGAGACCTACCCGTCCTGGGATGTTTGGGAGTGTGTGTTACTCATTCCCTGTTGAGATTTCTCTCTGTGAAAGAGTCCTGGGTCTGGTGAGGTGGCTGCATGGGTAAAGGTGCTTGCCGTCAAGGCTGATACCCTGAGTTTGAGCCCCGAGACCCACATGGTGACTGAAGAGAACCTATACTCCCCAACTTGTCCTCTGACCGCTGCAAATGCAGCATGAGAACATTGTGTGGAGGAGCTGATGGGCTTTGTCAAGCGAGCTGCTGAAATGTATGCCTCTGTCCCTTTCTCCGCAGGAAGAAAACCACTCAGCACCATTTCTTTCTTGTCACTAATTACACTTTGTTTACTCTGTGTGTGCACAGCTCATCTGTGTATAGACGAGTCAGAGTGTGCCTGTGGAGGGCAGAGGACAACTTGAGGGTCAGTTCTCACCTGCCGCCATCTGGGTTTGGGGGAACACATGGCTCACAGAGCCATGCATCAGCCAGTGCAGGGTTGTCCCTAATACTGTAATAGATAGAAAACACCCCATGACCTGCTCAACTCATGCTCATGTGGTACGTAAGTAAAAAGAGCTGCCAGTCACATCCATGTCCAGAACTCAGCCACATGCAGAATGGCACAGGAGGTGTTGAAAACATGCAGCTCTTACTGGCTCAAGGTTGTGCTAGCTCAGTAGTTCTCAACCTTCCTAATGCTGCGACCCTTTAGTACAGTTTTTCGTGTTGTGCTGTCACCAATCATAAAATCATTTTTGTTTCGACTTCATAACTGTAATTTTGCTACTGTTATGAATCATAATGCAAATATCTTATATGCAGGATATCTTATTATATGACCCCTGTGAAGGGATTGCACCCCTCAGGTTGAGAACCATTGCTCTAGACACTGTAAGCCGAGTATGTTTTTTTGTTTGTTTGCCTCTTACAGATGGATCTGTCCGTGGAAACCCTCTTTTGCTTCATGCAGGAGCGCCAGAAAAGATACGCCAAGTATGCAGAGCAGATCCAGAAGGTGAATGAGATGTCGGCCATACTGCGCCGCATCCAGATGGGCATCGACCAGACGGTACCACTGATGGAGAGGCTCAACAGCATGCTGCCGGAGGCCGAGCGCCTGGAGCCCTTCAGCATGCGGCCTGAGCGTGAGCGGCACTAGCAGGCGTCTGCCTCCCGGGCAGCTCCTCCAGCCTCTGCCTGGGCCCTGACGTTTGCTTAGATGCGGTTGACCTACGCGGACTTGCCCACGTGGTCATTCTTGATAACTGAAGTTGGGACAGTTGAATTCCTTTGAATTCTTTAAAGAACTCTGCATCGAGAGTTATTTTTATTTTGCTCAGATTTTTTAATTAAAAGTATATCTAGACTAGCTACTGTAATGAAACTGGAGAAAACGTTAAGAAGCCATGTTCTCCTTGGCACCCTGGGAGACTTTACTCAGGCCCTCTGGGTTGTGGTTGCAAATATAAGATCTAACTGAGTCCAGTTATTGTTCCCACGAAAGCTCCCGTCACATCAAGGAGGTATCTGCAGTGTCATCCTTTCCTGCTGGGACACTGTCTCTTTGTTTCCAGGTACCATGCCCCTTTTGTGGGTCACTGGAAACTGAATTCTCCCTTCACTCACTCCTGAAGTTGTTGTCTGTTAGTAACTGCTTTCCCATACCGAGTCCAGCCTTCCGTCACCTCGGCAGACCTCGGCCTCCGTAACAAGGTTGGCACCAGCATTTCATCCTGTCCACCAAGGGTGGTCGTTCTCTCACTCCAGAGACCCACTGAGCTCTGCTGATGTGCCAGCGATGAAAGGGGAGACAATGCAGTCTCTGCCCTCCATTGTCATCTGTAGATCATGATGCCGAGGAAAGAGCTGCTGCCCATCACAGGAGTTCAAGGAGGAAATGCTCAAGGGAGGGAGGGGTGGAATGAATGGAGGGGGCAGGCCTGAAGACAAGAGCTGGGGGTCTGAGGAGATCAGGGCTGGGAGCCTGCAGCCTTCACCTGTTCCCTGTATTCCTCCAGAACCCAGAGGTGATTTATCAGGAGTCAGAATAGCTTTCAGTGTTTTTATAAGATTAAAATTAATCTGTTTACTTTATTGTGTAGCAGCTAAACTTGATCTGATTCTAATCTTACTTTTTAATTTTTAATTTTATTTATTATTGTCATTTTGTGTATCATGTGTTATGTGTGAATAGGATGGACCTCTAACGCATGCTTGGAGGTCAGAAGACAACTTTCCAGAGCTGCTTCCCTCCTTCCACCTTTATGTTGATTCTGGGGATCGAACTCAGGTCTCTAGGCTTGTATGACAAGCATCTTGACCCACTGAGCCCACAAAATCCTGTTTCTTAATCAGATACTAATTTATAATGTTTTTAAAACCCAAAATAAAATGTAGGGCATAAGATAGTTGAATGGCAGAGGAAGCATGAGTATTTAAACTACAAGAAAGAAAAAAGATTAATTCAGAAATAGGGAAAAATAGTAATGTTTAGTCATTTCTTTTGTTGTGTTGGGGTTTGAACCAGGTCTGACTGTGTACTTCCAGCTGCCTGGGGTTCACTACAGGCCACGCTGACCTTGTGGCTGCTTCCTGCCTGGGTCCATAGTGCTGAGGCTACAGGCACTGTTTCACCACGTGTCTAGAATGTTCCGGATGACTAAATATACAAAGATTGTCTATTTCCTTAGAGCTGGAAGAACCCAGGCAGGACCCACCTCTTTCAGGGCAGCCTTTTGGTCATATTCTGCCTCCCTTCTTGGGGCTGCTGCCTTCATTCCCCGTGTGAAGTAGGTGAGGTGGGTTGAGAGAACTGGGGAGCTGCAGCAGCAAGCGGGTGTGGGCCATTGTTTGACCTGTGCTGAGCCCCCGGTGAAGGTGATCTTCACGTTTTTTGTCTCATGACTGGAGCTCTAGCCATTTCTAGAGCAATTCCCAGTGTGGTACAATTTAAAACAGATGTTGTGTACCTCAGATCCTATTCAATACCCTAAGATGGTTCTAGACCATGTCCTGGGTGAAGGAAGCGGCAGCCTACACTGAATAATCCCTCCAGGGTTTCCAGTATACTACCCTTCTGTCTTGTGCATGCTCAGTTGTCAGATAATTGAGGCTCTAGTTCCAAACTGAGTTCTGATTCATTGATCTTTTCTTCCATAGCGTTTCATTCTATTTTTGATTTTTCATACTGCTTTAGTACTATTTCCACAAAGTATTTTAATATGTGATGTAGCTAAATGAGGCCCCATTTATCCTCAGAAGCACTTTTTCCTTTTTTCTAAGATTCAGATGGGCAGAAAGTTGAACAGCAATGCAGTAGCACTCATGTCTTCACTAGACTGGGGCATTTTTAGACTCCCACCACATGGTCTTCACTGAGTTTCTGGAATATTTAGAACCCAGCTCTATGCACAGAGACATGCTCATATCCCTTCAAAGAACGAAGGGCTAATTGTCGACAGAGCTGTGTGAACAGTTCAGGCTTCCACCGGCACCATCAACTTTACTCTGCTTAGTGAGTGCCTGAAATGCCGCTCACACTCAGCCCCTGAGGACCGGGCTCTTCTGCCATCTCCTCATTTCATGGCAGAAGGGTTGGGGATGAAAAAAGTTGGAGCAGCTAGCTCACTTTCTTCAAGAAATCAGGGTAGGGCTGGAGTTATGCTGGGGATTCACCTAGTTGCTGTGGGTGGGTGAGGTGGTGTCAGCTTGGCTAAGCCAAACCATTTCCCAGAAGCCCTCCTGGTCTCCTTTAGGGTGGCATTGGCCACCAGCAAAGTTCTGATGAGATCTGGAAGAAAAGGGTGCTGAAATTTGTCTCGGGTCAGGCCCCGTTCCATTTCATACACATACTGGGATGTGCTACAGCCTGGGTTGTGTCAGCTTCTTTGGAACGTTCATGCACATGGATGAAAGCTCCCATGTGAGGAGAAGCTGCTGAGGGCTTCTGAGGTCCTTTTCCAAGGGAGTCTGGGAAGCCGAGTGATGTATCAAAACATCCTTATGCTGTCTCTTGGTCAGGTAGTATCCTCTGACCTATCTGGCCAGTACAGGTTGTTGTGGAAATAAAACAGCCAGGAGTTGTCAGGGAGCCCAGGATGGAAGTTTCTGTCCTTGATTCTTGGTAAGCCATCTTTATTTCCCTGAGCCTCAGTACTAGTTTGGAGCTAATATCCCTCACGAATGTGAAAGGCCCAGTCCTCAGAAAATGGTACTGTTGGGAAGAGGTGGGCCTAGGAGATGGGGCCTGGTGAAAGGAAGTCAGGTCATTGGCAAGCATGCCCTTGAGAGAAGAATGTCCCCTTTCCCATCCACTGTCAAGTCTGTGATACTCAACTCTGAGTCATTTGTCCTGGTTTTTGAGATAGGATTTCGTGTGACCCAGGCTGCTGGCTTTGAACTCCCTATGTAGCTGAGGATGTGACTTTCAGATGCTGCAGCCTCTTTCCCCAAGTGCTCAGGTGACAGACAGGTGTCACCACACCCAGCACTTGGAGAGCATCTTGACCTGTTTAGATGCTGTGAGCTCCCAGGATTATCCCTCCCTCCTCCCTCCCTCCCCCCCTCCCTCCGTGCTTTGTAGACCAGAGTTCCATCCTTGCCTCTAAGACTCTGTTTTGCCTCCCTGTGATGTGCTTATCTGTATTTAGGGACAAACAGCACCGGCTGCAGGTTCTTTGCTACCATGAAGGGTAACTGAAGCTGGTCATTATGTGCAGATGTTTTTAATACCCGTGGAGTGGCATTAAAGCAAGTAACAACGAGGTACGAGGTCCCGTGGCTCTCACTTCTAGTCTCAGTGCTTGGAAGGCTGAAGCAGGCAGATCACTGTGAATGCAAGGGCAGCCTAGACCACAGTGAAACCTGATATCCAAAACAAAAACGAAACCACACACACACACACACACACACACACACACACACACACACACACACACACACAAAGCATGCTACAATCTTAGGGCCTTGTGGTGATGTTTCTCTGGCTACTTTCAAGTCAACTTGACACAAGCCAGAGTCCTTTGTGAAGAGGGTACTTCAGAAAATGTCCCCACTTGAGCCCGTGGGCAAGTCTGAAGTACATTTTCTGGACTGATGCGGAAGAGCCCAGTTCACTGTGGGCAGTGCCACCCCTGAGCTGGTGATCCTGGGTTAAGAAAGGAGGCTGTGGGGAGTAAGCAGCACCCTCCATGGCCTCTGCATCAGCTCCTGCCTTCAGGCTGCTGCCCTGTTTGAGTTCCTGTCCTGACTTCCTTCCATGATGGACTATGATGTGGAAGTGTAAGCCAAATAAACCCTTCCCTCCCCAACTTGCTTTTGTTCATGGTGTTTCATCACAGCAACTCAACCCCAAGACATATCTTTGTTTCCCTCAAAGTTGTATCATTAGTAATCATATATATGTACATATGCATATATGCATGTATAAGATTTCTTACCTTTCAGAAGTTAACTCCTCAGAATATAAAATATACCATGAACCTAGATACCTAACCAGTGTTGTCTGCAGAGTAAATATTTGGTGAGATGAGTTTCGGGAACATCACAGGCTGGAACAGAGAAATGGTTCCACTGCTTGGGTTTTGTGGTTTCTTTGGTTCACGTGCCAGGGAATCAAACACAGGGCCTTGCACATGCTACTTAGGCACTGAGCTACATTCCCAGTAGCGGCCTGGAGCTCTCCCTTGTGTCCCTGCCTCCATTTGTATTTGTATTTGTGTGTGTGTGTGTGTGTGTTTCATAGAACTGTGGAATTGGTTCTTTTCTTCCATCTTCACATGGGTTCTGGGAAATCTTGAAATCAGGTTGGCATGTTTGCATCTCACTGCTAACGATTTTCTTTATCTCCATTCTGTCTGCCTTGTACTGACAGCATTTCATCTCTTTAGTGTATACTTTTGATTAAACTGGTGAGGCTAAGCTTCTCATATGATCAAATATCTAAGTAGAAGTCATTGAGACATATATCATATATAAGATGGAGAAAAAATTGTTGTTGTTGAGATAGGGTCTCATAGAAGACAGACTGGTCTCCTAACCCACTGTGTGGCCAAGGATAACCATAAACTCCTGAAGTTTCTACCTTCAAACCCCGAGTGCTGGGATTTCCATTGATAGCTGTAATAACAGCTCCCACCTTTTAAAAGGGTTCCTGTGAGGAGAGAGGGATAAGAAACTTAGATAGAAAAATAGCAAAGAGGAGAAAGAAACACAGGAGAGCTTTGGGAGGACCTGGATCAAAACCCAACAGCCCCTTCTGCCTCTTCAAAAGGCTTTTTATAACAATGCCAAGGGGCGGGGCAGAAAACCTCTCCCTTGCTAGATCAAAGCACACTGCACAGCCAAGTGCAGCCCCTTCCACACACCTGGTAACCACCCCAGGTCAAATCATCCCCTTAGGCAGCCATACTGGGTAAACAAGCTCAGATTTCAGACCCTGAGTGATTGGGACCTCCACAGATAACCATGTCTGGTTTATATGGTGCTAGGGATCAAATTCAGCGCCTTATGACTGAGGTGAGCACTCTACCACCTGAGCCTCATTCCAGGGTCCAAGACAGTCAAGAACTACCCTTCCTGAGTTTTTCCTGGAAGGACTATGGAGTCCTGTCTGTAGCAGGTAGACATGCAGGCAGCTGTCCTTGTACACCCTGAAATCAGGCAGGTAGAGCTGCTCCAGTGTGCAGCAGGAGGGGACACGGGCCAGCATCCAGCACTGTTCCAGGTGAATGACATATGTGATGTATCACCTGCCACTTCCATTTTAAATGGCTAAACTCTCATGTGTGGTTCTGTGACTCCCTTCTTTTGCAGCTTCAGATAGGGTGGCTCCCATCAAGGTAAGAACTGCCAGGAGAGGTAGCTTTTCACACTTATGTATAAACAGGTACCAGTTTTGATTTTATTTCATCATATTAACATACATGACACATCAAAATGAGAAATGCACAACTGAACCATTCAACAGCTTGCTTTACTCCAAAGAACACTATATTCATATTAAACATTTATAGTCTTCCCACTCTGACTTTACACACGGTCTCAACGGTTTCCAGCATTTCTCAGAGTCTAGTTTTGCTCATTCAAATCACTGCTCTGCATCACTGCAGAGGACTCCAGGCTTCCCTGTGCTCACATGAGGAGAGCCAACCACCACGCCTCCCACAGCGTGCCCCAGAGGCAGCCCTTTCCGCGTGGTAGCTGTGATTCCCAGAACTGATAATGTGACATTAGCGATGAAGACTGACAGCTGAGAGTGTGACTATCCGCTACACAGAAGGGACCATGGCCAGAGGCCCTACCTGACGCGTGGCATAGGCAGCGCATGCCCGAAGACACTGACGCCAAACCCCTTGGTCCTCCGGGAACATCCTTAACGACGGAGCTGTGGCTTTCACTTTTCAGTTATGTCTTGCCAGTGTGACCAGATTTTAAGAGGGTGGATTCTCACACATTTAGTGTGTGTACCAAAATTCACTGTGAAGCTTTGGGAGCTTCTGATTACATAAGAGATTTTGATGTACATCAAAAACACAGCTTGCCGAACAGAACCTCCACAGAGTGGCAATCTGCTCCCTGGGCAGCGTCTGCTCTGCCATCATCTTAGGCCCAGACACAGCTTATCTGTACAGAACCAGTATGTCCATGAGGCTCATAATCCCCATGATCAAGCCCTTCAGCTTCAAACCATGTCACTCTCTGCTGGCTTTAGCAATCACTATAGGAAACATTAAGTCACATCCTAGCCAAAAGACCGTCCACTTCACAAACACAGAAAAACCTGAGATATGAGTCAGCCCCTTGCTACACTTCCAGTAAAGAACCATGACCATACCTGCCCACACCCACACCCTGCTGACGTGAATTAAGGCTGTACTCTAGAGGAGAAAACGCAAGCCAGGAAGTTGAAAGGCAGATGTGTCAGACTGTCATGAACACACTTGTTCTTACTACCTTCTTTTCTCAGCTGCCAGGATTGTGTCCACACAGTGATTGTATGCCAGGGACTGAGAAACCACTGTGGTCCTCCACTCTGACGTGTCCCTTCCTTGGAGAGCAGGCTGGGACAGCTTTTGAAAAGAGCTTTCCTGTATTCACAACTAAACAAAATCCAACAACTCCTTTGTAACATTTCTAGTGTGTTTTATACTCAGAATAGTTCTTGCTTACCAAAGCCCATGGTAGATTTGGAAGTCTAAGAAGATTCTAGAAGTAGTACCCTTGTTGCATACCACAGGAAAAAAAGGCCACCTAAGAAATCGGTTTCCTGCTTCAAGTTTTACCTTCCCGAATCTCCCTATAGTTTTATTCCATGTCATGAAACAGAACTAAAAAGCATGTTTGGGCTGAGAATCTGAATGGGCTGTCACTCCGGCTACCAAGCCCAATGATTCACATTTACCTCTAAACCAAGTCTGTGCTCAATTTATGGATTAACAATTCCACTTTAGAGAATTCTTTGATTATGATAAAGAGGGAGGGGACTGTTTAGTGTCCCATCCCTGGCTTACGTCTCTAAGCTGCCTGACTGCCCAGTCTCTAGCTGTGCTGAGCTCTGGTTGGTCCCCTCTTCGATAACGCTGAGAAGGGGGGTACATGGCAATTGCTCGTCCAGGCCTACTGGGATTTTGTGCATAGACAGTATGAATTTGTCTGGAAAGTGACAAGTTCCTTACTTATTCACAATGCCTAGAAAATGGGCTCCTAGTCATGGTAGTGGTGATGGCCCCAATGTCTTGTCTGAGGTACTGGATTGGTTATAAGTAGATCTAGGCAAGGCTCCTAATAGTTCATCCAGCAGAATGATGTCCATGTCCTTCAGCTGTCAATCAAGCTTGGATTTATGACTCAGCTTTAGACAGGATCATTTCTCTTGGACTTCCCACTAGGGTCTGTCCCTCCCTAAGAGGGTCTTTCCACCTGACCCACAGCTGGCTCAGTCTCAGCGCTAAGGTGCACTAGGGAAGGGCCTGGACAGAGATGAGTTCTGGAGATCTCTGCTGCACATGAAAATGGGAGGGATTCTGCCCTCCACCATCAAAAACAAAACCCTTGCTTTTGTGGGAACAAGATGTGCAATTCACTGAACAAAATCTCTTCTCCTGGCTGGGGGAGTTCTAACATCTACCCTTCCACTCTTCTGAGAGAATTAGCTGTTCTCAGTGCAGGTGTTGAGAGAACAACTGTATTGATCCGTCTTTTGCTTTTACACCGTAGCTCTATATTCCAAAAATATATATGTACATACATATATATATTTCAGATTTACAGGGAATATTTTTGTGAACAAGAAACAAAACAAAACAAAACATCAACAGAGGTTGCATGGGTCTTTCTTCTCAGGAGACCTCAATGATTTCCATGCTGCCTGAAAAGCTAGACTGACTGCCCACTTTCCCCAGCTCTTCCCTTGACCTGTTCTCTGACATGAGGCTCTCTCCAAATTCCATTTGGCAGCTTCTGCGCTTAAACTGCTTTTCAAAGGGGCTCTCTTCATGCCAGCTCCGCCTCGAGTCAGCTCTGTCACTGGGCTTCTGCCGCCTACGAACAGAATAGACTTGGTCGCTGCAAGTGGGCAGCTGGCTACAGCTGTAGGCAGAGTAACTGGTGTTGCCTCCATAGATGGTTGAAGCAGAGTAGAAGTGTGAAGGCTCTGTGGCAAAATACCAACTGTTGGTCAGGGAGGGGGCAGAGGACTGGGGAGCCAGAATATCCGAATGCCAGCCCTTGAGCCCGTGCCCTGCGGCGGACTTGGTGAGGTGCTGCTGGCTGGTGGAAAGGCCGAAGAGGAAGTTGGTGTGGTAATTGTCCTCCACACTCCCACTCCGATGCAGCGGGGAGAAGAAGGACCTCTGGGTGGCCCCACCACTGCTGGCTCGCACTGAGTGCAACCTCTTGCTCTGGCTCTCTGAAGGCCTGCTGAGTTGGGGCTGCTTGGGGACGTGGGCCTCCTCCTTATCTGGGCTGGTCTCTGGAGTCTGCTCTGATACCTCCTGAACAGGGGAGAACTGGCAGAGCTTGTTGGTCCCATCCAGTGTGGCAGATGGTTTGTAGTATTCCAAAGCATCCTCTGATGAGAAGCCGTGTAAAGACGCTGCCACACTGGCTGAATACGAAACGGATTTGATATCGAGAGAGAAGGAACGCTTGAGCTTATTGCTGTCTTCCAGCTTCTCTGAGGACAGCTGGAGCCCGCTGAACGCCTGTACCAGTGGACTGTCCTCCAAGAGGGAAGGCTGTAAGCTGGGCACATTGGCAGGATGCCCAAGCCTTTGCCCCGCGGCCTCTGAGGTAGAGCTGGCACAGGGTGGACTGAGAGCCAGTGCACTCTTCCATCCGCCCTCCGAGGCCGCAGGCTCACTGGGTTTGTCCAGGTGCAGCAGCTTGAGTTTGCTCTTTGGCCCTGACGCTCCAGTCTGCTTCTTAATCGTCTTCTCAAAGTCCATGAGTTGGCCCAGAAAATTAAAGTTCGGAGATATGGTAGGTCTTTTTTC